GAACTGTTCGCTTAGCAAGTTGAATATCTCAGTTCTGTCAGATGTTAGCACGTTTCCGTGAGGATTTGTTAAACTCCGCCTTTACTAGGTGTTTTTGTTCTCAGGGTGCTGCAAGAAGTTGGGCAAAAATAGCAGATTTCTCTTTTGACGTTTGCTTAACTTCATCATTAAGTCATTTCAGGTCTGTTCTAATAGAGAATAATTTGTGGTGAGTTGTAGTGAATGATGAAATGGCGATGAGATTACACTTTCAATAGATGGGCATAACACTGGTCAACTGTCAGGTTAGCAAATTCCAGGACCCAATTAATCATGTTGAAGTAGTTAATCATGCTTTAGAAGTTGGTGCGTTTGAAGTCGAAATGTTTGCGATCAGAACGGTTGTCCTTAATTATAAAATCCCAACAGAGCATAGCATGTAGATAAAATCCCAACAGAGCATAGCATGTAGATAATTTTTATGTGTGGTTCCAAGTGGGTAATCAACTTTTAAATTTTAAATGTATGACGGATCATTTGATAACTCAAGGTCAAGTTGATTTTTGATATATGTTGGTTGTAAGACAAACTGAGTGAGTAGACAGTTTTGAATTGTTTCGAGGAATGCATTTGCCTGTGTATTGGATTCTGTAGAGAGTCCACCAGAGCTATTCCATTTGATTCTGGGGTAGTTGAAATATCCAACGATAAGAAGTTTAGTTAATTTCTTTTGCTTAACTAGAATAGAAGCTTGATGGATCAAAAGGTTAATGATTTTGTTTATTGCAGATTTGGAGCTAGGTGTTCTATAAATACATTCTAATAAAATGTGTTTAGAGTCAATATTTATTTGAACCCATATCTGTTGGCTACCAGTTCCATTGAGAGTTTTGTCATTTTTGAACTCAAAAGCGCTGAGTGTGTTTTTTGTGGAAACAGTAACTTCCTCTTTGGGAGGAATTACGCGAGAAGCAGAAAAGTATCAAGTAGTTTTTAAAAGTGGTTTTTCTGGGTCGAACCAGGTCTCACAGAAACAGAGTGTATCTGGATAGCTTTTCTGAACAAGAAGAAAGTTGAGTTCATCGAATTTGTTCGAGAGGTCGGATTTGTGTAGTATATTTATGATATATGAGGTATTTTAGTAGTTTAGGAACAGGTGAAATATTGAAATTGGCTGATAAGTTTGGTGGTTGCAGTTGCTGGATTGAAGAATTAGACTGGAGTCTTTGGTTTGGCAGCATCGCAAGCAACCTTCCAGTTGCCGAATGGGCGTTTCTCTGTGCCATTGATAAGGGCTTATCAATGGCTTATTACAGCAGTATTAATATAGCGGTCGGCTCGGTAGTCACGGATGACAAATTGAAAGGGCTGTTTGAGAGAGTTGTTGGCTTTAAGGTTATTAAGGTTTTTTCGCTGGTTGTTAAGTTTGTTAAAATTTTCTTGTTCAGCTGGGGTGTGATCGAGGCAGATATAGAAGTTTTTAAGCAAAGCAAGATTTTTTCGATATGGGCAGTAGGGTGTTGCGACCTACAACTTTGAAAGTATTTTGGAATTTCAAGGATTCTAATACGTTTTTTACTTTTTGTATTTTGTCTACGGCTCCTTCAGTTATTTGGGTTGAACCCGCGAGCCCATCGATAATGACTTGTTTTACTTTGTGAAGATGTGAAGCTGTTAGTCGTGTTTTGGAGCGCTGACAGGGTAGATGTAGAGCCTGACTTTACTTCTTTGAGTTTGATTTTGAGAATTGTATTTTTTCTTTTGACTGTTGCCAGTTGCTCAATGAAATTTTTAAGAGTTTGGGCAAGAGATTTTATCATGGCTAAGTTACTCTTAGTGATAGTAGATGCTTTGCCTAGGGCGGACGGCCAGTCATCTAGCAGGTCTAAGAGGTTTAGAGTGAGCAAATCAGTTTCTATCACTTCAACCATTTTTGTAACAAAATTAGATTTTTACAAATATTAGCTCAGAAACTACGATATTACAATATATATATATATATATATATATATATATATATATATATATATATATATATATATATATATATATATATATACATATATATATATATATATATATATATATATATATACATATATATATATATATAATATATATATATATATATAATATATATATATATATATATATATAATATATATATATATATATATATATATATATATATATATATATATATATATATATAATATATATATATATATATATATATATATATATATATATTTAAACAATTTAAAATGTATTCTACAAAAAGAGTGCTCAAGTTCTTAAAAGAACAGAGCAATTACAAATTAGTAGAAAATCACTTAGCAAAATTATGTATATATATATATATATATATATATATATATATATATATATATATATATATATATATATATAATATATATATATATATATATATATATATATATATATATATATATATATATATATATATATATATATATATATATATATATATTAAATGTTGACATCTTCAATAGATTTTATTTGTATAAATATTTTAAAATAAAACTTCTTTTTATGGATTGATTTCTATTTGCAAAAATTATATTTATTTTTACGATATTTCGAGGGAATATGGATACCCTTGTTATCAAGTATATAAAAACCGTTATAAAAAAACAAAACCCTTATAAAAAAACAAAACCCTTTTGTTTTTTTATAACGGTTTTTATATACTTCATAACGAGGGTATCCATATTCTCTCGAAATATTGTAAAAATAAATATAATTTTTGCAAATAGAAATCAATCCATAAAAAGAAGTTTTATTTTGATATATATATATATATATATATATATATATATATATATATATATATATATATATATATATATATATATATATATATATATATATATATATATATATATATATATATATATATATATATATATATATATAGATAGATAGATAGATAGATAGATAGATAGATATAGATATAGATATATATGAATATAGATATAAATAGGTAAATAACTTTCTGATTTTTTTTAAAACACTAAAAGTAGCTAATGGTTTATTTAAAATATTACAAAAACACCTGTTTTTTTGCACAGTAAAAAAATAAAACTTCCTGTATGAAAACTGAGCAAAAAAAAAAAAAATTGTTGAAATTTATAGTATTAAAAAGTTATGAACATAAAATAAATCAGACACAGATAAAAACCTTTGTTAGATATGTTTTTAAATAAATAGGTATATGTATATATAAATACATGTATATAACTTATATTGTAAGGTAAGCAGATTTATATAGCAACAATTTAAATATTCAAGCAATTGGAATCGGTTATAGCAGAAGTAACAAACAAAAAAAAGAAAAACAGATAGTGAATAAAAAAGCAAGAGAGAAGAGAAGTATTATAGAGAGGAGAGAAGTATTATAGAAAAGTTAAATTAAATTAAAGGAATGAAAAGCTACAGATAAAAACTGTAAAAAAAATCTAAAAACTTACTCTAAAATAAAAATATGTTGTCTATTCAAAAGCCAAAAGCCAAAAAAAGATATTCAGTCAATTAATTTTTTTTTTTTAATTTTTTCATTTACTAGACTAGGTTATTTATTTACTAGTCAAGAAGGAAATATTGTAATAGCAGAGCTAATCAAGACAAGTTCCCTTTGTACTGAAGTACTACTCATATGCTGAGTAGGTGGAACCAGGATTGAACCTGCAATCCTGCTGCTACGGCCAATAATTATTGCAAACTTTTTAGCAGTGCTTTAACCAACTGAGCTCACTTACAAATTGAATCATGCAAAGCTGAGCATTTAACAAAGTTGTTAAAGAACATTTAACAAATTATCGAAGTTTTAAAAATGGATGCAAAAATAATAGTGCATTTGATATAATAGTAAGTTAATTTTTCAACAGGGTTTTTAAGTTTTTTTGAAATTTGTATTTTTGAGCTAGTATCCTGATTAAGAGTGAAAGTCAGGACACTGAATATCAACAACCAGATGAGATCAAAAAGTGAGTATTAACAGTCAGGCAGATACTAAGTAATTATTTACAGTCAGGTAGACACTAAGCAGTTATCAACAGTTAGGTGGACACTAAGCAACTATTAACAGTCAGGTGAACACAAAGTAAATATTATCAGTCATGTGGACACTAAGCAACTTTTAACAGTCAGGTGGACACTGAGCAATTATTAACAGTCAGGTGGACACTAAGCAATTATTAACAGTCAGGTGGGCATTAATGCTGCTGTTGTTGTTATTGTTGTTGTTATTGTTGTTATTATTGTTGTTGTTGCTGTTGTTGCTATTGTTGTTGTTCTTGTTGTTGTTCTTGTCGTTTTAATGCATACTTTTTGTAAATGCAATGCATTTTAGTGAAACTGCACCTGAGCAGTGAACGCCTTAGGGATGAAAAATAAGTTAAAAAGAGTTTAGCAGAGGGAGATAAAAGTACAAAAGGACAGATGTCCAGTTGAAAACAAAGAGTCTTAAAGTAGAAAAATACTTATAGTGTACTTTTTATTATAGTATACTTAGTGGTATAAGTAACTCATAGTAAAAAATAAATAAGAATAATAAACAATAGTCAAGGAAAGTCATTGGTTGTTGTGCTATTAAATTGTTGTTAGAGTCCAGCGTGAATGTGATGTATAGATAGAATTGGTAATGGAGTAGAATTATTTGTTTTATAAGTAGTCAATATGTGGTTTGTATTATTAAAGGTGATAAACATACATTATAGATATAAGTGTCGTAAACATTGATATCAATCTTACTACTATTATTATTATTGATGTTGTTTATAAATTAACTATAAGATTATTATATAGAGGTATTTTTTTAAGACTAAGTACTAAGTTTACTATTTGTAACTATCCATTAAATAACTTTTTTAGTACATATTTGAACGTAAATAGTGTCTAAGCAAAACTGCATTTTTTTATCAAATTGTATTTTTGTTCTTGTGTATATTTATTGTAAGACTCAAAAAAATGTTTTATAGTATATTAAGACTTTTCTTTAGTATGTTGTGCCACCAAAATGTCGATCTACTGCTGAAGCTTTTCAAATACTTCTAATACATGTTTTAGGAGATGCTTTTAGTCCCTTTGTGGTTGGCTTAGTAAGTTTTTTTTTTTTTTTTAATATTGTCTTGCTTATTTTGAAAAACATTAAATTTAGTTTTATTTTGACAGTTTACATCTTTATAGAGATGTTTGTGGGAGAAAAGCTGCTTAATCGTGAATTTATAACCGCTTTTTAATTTTGAAAACGTTTTATTAATGACATTTTTATCAACTGAGCTTATAAATTTTTTAACAGCTTTTTAACATGAACAATTTAAAGTATAATAAACACTTAATGTAGTTTACAAAAAAGTAACAACAGTAGCATACATTAATAAATACAGTACCTACATTGATTAATGAAGCTTTTTATTTTATATAATATATATATATATATATATATATATATATATATATATATATATATATATATATATATATATATATATATATATATATATATATATATATATATATATACTTAATTATCTTCGCTTCCAACAAGGCTGCAAGCAACCACTAATTAGTGTTGGAAGTTACTGGAAAAGAAAAGATGAAGATTGTAGAGCAAGATAACGATTGACAGACGACTTAAAAGACTGCAAATTATATGAATATTGACAATATATGACGATATATGACGACTTAAAAGACTGCAAAGTATATACTAATTTAGGTCAAGAAAAATAGCTTAAAACGCACTAACTTAATATAATTTTTAAGTATATTTAAATAGAATGACGCTTGCGATCGAATTTAACTCACGTGTGTCACAAACAAAAACAATCTTTCTTTTTCGAGCTATTTATTCTAAAAAAATAGAAAAGATTAAAAAACGAATTTGTGCCATACTTTTACTTAAGCTAAGAATATTTTTATTATTATAAACTGTAATTTATAACTTTTACTTTAAAGATAAAATAAAACGAAGATTTAAAAAAAATTAAAGATGCTGCCAAAAATTACGAGATCACTTTCAAAGACATTTTTATTTGAAGAAAAAAAAGTGTTAGAAAAACTTTGTGAAACGCAGTTTGCCACAAATGAGCAAATTATTCTTCATTTTCATTACAGGTATGATTAAAACATTAAACTGATTATAAATTATCATTCAATATATTAACCAAGTAATTAAATTTCAGTATGAAAAATGAAATATATAAAATCTAAATTTAATCTTAATAACTCAGGCGTCTGTTAGACAAAAATACTCCCACCAAAACTTTCTTCCCAACTTGTGCTTCCCAAGATAAAATGATGTCAGCATGCTCTGAACTAGCAATATGTCCTCAGAACTGCATCCTTTTTGCAATGAAGAAACCGTGGATTGATGGAGGATGTGACGGCGACATATTTCATGACAAAACATCAGGTTTGCTAAATGATCTATAATTAGATTTTTTTTATTTTTACCGAATTTGACTTTTGCTTATATTAATTTGTTGACTATTTTCACTCTCTGATATGAGACTATATTGAAAAATTTTAAAGCAATTAGAAAAAAGTTAAATAAATATTATATGTTCTAGGAAACTATTAAATGATCTAGTTGAAAAATGGGCAACGTTGAAAAAAAATAAAAATAAAAAAGGCAACGCAGCAGAATTAGCTAGAAACATCTTTAAAAAAAATGCAAAGAAAGTTTTTTGGATTAGAAAACCTGATATTTGCTCCATTTTGAAGAAGAAACATGGAAACAACCTAGATTCATACAATTCAGATAAGCAATTTTTAAATGATCAAATGGCGAAACGTAAAATGACACTTGGTTCAAAGGATTTAGCATATTGCTGAAAAAAATAGAAGAAAGAAGATTGCGATATTTAACATTTATTGAGCAACAAGAGAATCAAACTTAGAAAATTGAGTTTTTATCATCAGAACAAAGTGAGGTCTCCTCTTGTCAGGATTCCGACTATTCAGCAGACGAAATTAAATCAGGAACTAGTGCTTCAACAGTATTACCTAAAAATTTGCAAAAGAAGTTGCAATTACAGGTGTTTCTAAAAATATTTCACCTAGAAATATGGTGCACTTGCTCTCTGACATAGTAGTTACTTCTGGGGGCAGTTTGACAGATTTCTCGCTTTCTAAATCTATTATCAGACGTGCAAAAAAGAAAACAATAAGTACAAGTGCAGCTAAATATTGAGAAGATATAATAAAAGCTGCAAGTCAAAGTAAATTTCCAATAATTGTACACTTTGATGGAAAAATCTAGCAGGATATTACTAACGGTACAAAACAAAAAAGAGATTGTTTTGCTGTTCTTGTAAATGTCGATGGTGATTTAACACTTCTTGACATTCCGCTAATGGAAAATTGTACTGGAAAATCTCATCATGATACTTTAATAAACATTTTAGATGAATATAAGCTAAGAACTTATATAATGGGTCTGTGCTTTGACACAACTTTAACTAATACAGGAAAATATTCCGACACAAACATTAGGTTTTGTCAAACACAGGGTTCAATTATATTACAGCTTGCATGTCGAAGACATGTTTATGAGCTTCCCTGTAAACATTTATGGGAAAAAGTTCACATTGGTAAAACTTATGCTCCTGAAAATCTGATGTTCAAAGTTTTCCAAGCTAATTGGAACGCAACAAAGGAAACTATGGATAAATCAAAGTTCAAAAAATTTGACAAAGCTGCAGGTAAAGGAACATATTTAGAAAAACAGATCCAAGAGGTGATTATAAAGAACTGGTAGAACTTACACTCACCTACTTATGCCAGATGTAAGCTTTAATGTTTATGCTCTCAGATCAGTTTCCCATGCTCGTTTTATGGCAAAGTTTATATATTATCTTAAAATTTAAGTTTTGAGTAATCAGTTACCCTACCAATTGACAGCTTGTTTACAAAAAGAAATCAGTAAAATGGCAGAATTTTATACTGTGTGGTTTGTGCGTTCCTCTTTAGTTTCCTCTGCACCTTATCAAGATTTAAATGCGTACTGGATGGTCCAGTATAAATGTTGGGTGGAATCTTATGATCCAGGAGCTAATAATGTACTAGAGGGAATTGAAGAAGTATTAAAATCAATGGAGAGACATACGTGGTATTTGGATCAAACCTTGATTCCATTATGTCTCCCAGATATAGAACTCGAAGATGATGAGAAAGAAAAAGTTGCAAAAGTTCTTTTCTCGCAACCTGTTCCTACTCACTATGAGAAGTTTGAAAATCCTAGAAAGATCTAGACTTCTACATTCCTACCAACCAACTGTGACACCTAGCTTGTCACAGTTTTTTTTTTTTTTTTTTTTTTTTTTAACATCTTCACTTCCAACAAGGCTGCAAGCAACCACTAAAAGAGTTGGAAGTTACTGGAAGAGAAAAGACTAAATCTATAGAGCAAGATAACGATTGACTGATGACTTAAATGATTGCAAATTATATGAATCAGGGAAGCAAGATGAAGGAAGGGAATTCCAAAGAACTGATGTTCGAGGAAAAAAACTAGAAGAATAAGAGTTTTTGAAGCACTTAGGAACAGTCACAGAAAAAGGATGAGACTTAATTGAATGACGAGTAACACGAGAATGAATTTTAGTAGATGGCACAAGAGACGCTAGTTCTTTAGAGCAGTGCCCATTATAGTATTTGTAAAAAAGAGAAAGAGAAGCAACATCACGACGATGTGACAAAGGTTGGAGATTGGCTGCCAGAGCAGGTCCAACTATGTTTACAATGCGTTTTTGCACCTTGTCTAAAAGAGAAAGGGCATCATTAGAAGATCCGCCCCAGATGTGGCAACAGTATTCCATACAGGGGCGGATTTGAGATTTATAGAGATAGAGAATAGAATCTGGAGTAAGAAAGTGTCGAGCTCGATAAAGAGATGCAACCTTAGCAGATGCTAATTTTGCAATGGATTTGATATACAGTTTAAAAGAAAGATCAGAAGTAAGAGTTAATCCTAGAAGATGAATGGTAGATGACTCATCTAGTACATTACCATTCATAAATATAGGAAGATCTAAATTATTACGATAACGATTGGCCGAATAAAATTGAGTTTTATCTGAATTAAAGTTTACCAGCCACTGTGAGCCCCATGCTGTAGCAGAAGTGAGATCCTTTTCAAGCTCAGATACCCCCTACAGGCAATCAGAGAGTGTAGGCTTCTTATCATGACAAGAGTAAATGGTAGTGTCGTCAGCGAATAATGCCACCTTAGATGTGAGAATATCTGGGAGATCGTTAATGTAAATTAAAAAGAGTATAGGGCCAAGGATTGAACCTTGAGGAACCCCTGAAGTTACAGGATATAAAGAAGAGTGTTGTCCATCGAGAACAACTTTTATACTACGATTGGAAAGAAAGGACTCAATAATCTTAAAGATGTTACCAGATACACCATAAGAAGAAAGCTTATGGAGAAGACCAGCATGCCAAACTTTATCAAATGCTTTAGAAATGTCAAGTGCGATAGCCTTAACCTCTCCACCTCTATCTAATGCACGGTAAAACCTATCGGTTATTACTGTTAGCAAATCAGCTGTAGAACGAGAAGATCGAAATCCATATTGATGATCAGAAAGTAAGTTATTTGATTCAAGATGAGAGATAAAGTGTTTGTTGATTAAAGATTCAAAAACCTTGCTTATGACAGGAAGAAGACTAATGGGACGGTAGTTAGATGAATCAGATCGCTCTCCGGAATTTTTGAAAATAGGAATAACAGATGCTGCTTTCCAGCATGATGGAAAACAGGACTCTGATAAGCACTTGTTAAATAGTTTAGAAAGTATGGATGAAAGCTCCGGAGAACACTTCTGCAAGACTAGAACAGGAATGTTGTCAGGACCACAAGCTGTTGAAGAGTCTAAGCAGGAAATTACTTTTGATACAGAAGCTGAAGTGATGCGAATGTCAAGCAAGGGATCAACCTGTTTGACGGCCATGTCAGGTAGGACGCAACTAGTGAAATCGAGAGATGATATTGATGAAAAGTTCTTAGCAAACAATTCAGCTTTGTCTTTAGGTGAGGTGACAAAGTCTGAACCATACAAGAGAAAAGGAATAACAGATTTGCCCTTAT